TATGGGAACTTAAGTCAGGGATGACATCTGAACCTGTCCATTCCCTGGGCTCAGCCTCCCTAGCACTAGCCTCATTCCCTCTGGACAAGTGGCATCCAGATTTTTCAATTGTAGGTCAGTGACTGCAACCCACACAGGACTGTTGGGGAGCTCAACTATCTGTAAAAATAGCCTTACCCCCATTCACTCAGCTCTTACTCAGTCCCTGGGTGCTCACTAGTTAAGTATATCACATTGCCTGGTCCTCAGAATAGCCCAGCAGGGTACATGTTATATCTTGTGATTATTCCTATTTTACAGATAAGAATCCTAAGATTCGAAGAGGTTAAGTCAGTTATTTAAGACCTTACAGCCAGATGATGACTGAGCTGGGATTTAAACTCTGAGCATCTGACAACAGAGCTCAAGTACTCAACAGGGAAGAGACCAGGAGGTGAGTCCAGTTGAGACAGGGCTCTGAGATGTGAGTGCGCTGAGCCCCACTTGTATACCAGATATTCTGTGAGTTTATCTCATGAAATCCTCACTAACTTTCTTCAAGGTAGGGGTCATTGTCTCCAGTGGGCTCCCTGACTTGTCCCACAGTGCATGGAGTGTAAAATGAAGAGGTATCTCTCTGCCTCCAAGACCAAGGCCATTCTCACTGCTATTCTCAATATGGGGTCTTACTTGGGAAATCAAGTTCTTAAGGTGAGATAGATACTTTAGCTTTTCTCCTAAAAAAGTTTTTTTAAGATATATTGTGGTATTTAAATCCACAGAACACCTGGAATTGAATTTCTATATGGTGTGAGGGAGGGATTCAAAATCATTTATTGCCAGTCTTTCTCACTAGTATTACCAACAGTTAGATAATCAAATAACCTTGGTCAATTCCAAATGCCAGTTTAGCGTGCGTGATTACACAAACTTGAGAAAGCCTTGACATTTGCCTTTGCACCATGAATGAGGAAGGTGTTTCTAAGCAGATTCAAATGGCAACATACTTAAGGGAAAAGGCTCTTTCCAAATATCAAATAAGTAGATGCTTAGTGATTCATGTACTAATGACCAATATGTGTATCTTTTTACCTGTTTTTCTAAGATTCTTTTGATATTGCTTTCAATTCTTTTATGGAAGAGATTCAGGATCCATCTGAAGAGAAGAGAAAGAAGGTCAGGATACATTTTAAGGTGAACTGAGACTCCCAAAAGGAAGGCTACCCAGGGATCTGAACTTTCCCCATTTTATCTCAACAATGAGACCCAGGCAGATGAATTTAATCCAAAGGGGGAAAACCCTGGACAACCTTTAGTATAACTATGTACATCTTAAAGCCCACTTCTTCCCTAGCCCCCAGGTCTAAGAATGAGTAGCAAACCCTGTTCAGCCAATCGGAGCTCATGCTGATTAGTCTAGGGATGAGCACGTGACCTAATGTGGACCAATGAGAGCTTTTCCCAGGGCTTTTATGGTAAAGGATGCTTTCACTGAGGTCCAAGGAAGCCTGAGTTCCCGGTGACCATCATTTCCACTCTAGGGTGGGGGACCCTGCCTCAGAATGAAACCAATAGAGAAAAAAGCAGAACCAGGAGCCAGAAATTCCCAGTGATGCTGGTCAAACACCTGGATCCAGTCAGAGCTACGACTCTATCCCCTGGCTTCCATGGGAACCACTCAAGTTCATTCCTGCCTCTTTTATTTTGATTTTGGTGCTGGGGACAAAACTCAGGGCCTCGGGCATACTGGGCAAGTGCTCTACCGCTAAGTGACACCTCCAGCCCCAGTTTATCAACAGATGACTGCTAAGACATTGTAGAATCTTCTTGTAATGGATTAGTTTGAAAAGGAAACTTGCTTTCTGATGAGGAAGGATTTCCAAATACACGCAAAGTGAAGAAAAGCTAGGGATGTGAGATTGTATACAGCACGCTCCTCTCTGTGTAAAAACTAAAAGACTAAATACCCACCTGGGCAGTCAGAGAATTTCAGGACTCACACCTGGGACGCTCAGCCTTGGTTGCTGCTAGCAAGGAGAATTGATGGGCAGGGAACTAAAGTGGAGAGAGATTTCCCCACCCTGTACCCTTTTGCACATCTTGAATTTTGATAAATCATCTATTAAAAACATTTGAAAAAATTTAAAGCGTAAGGTGGGGGTAAAGCCTATTCTTTATACCTCCCCAAGCCTGCCAAACAATTTTTTTTTCCTCCAGCAGTTCAACAGTTTAGTTTAGTTACTTGTTAATTTCATGGAGATCCGACGAGTTGAAGCCACTGCAGATAAAGTCACCTGCAGCGCTCCCTCCGACCACAGACACCCCCCTGGCAGAAGTGAGGACCGGGACAGGGTTCCCACACTGTGTTCTTCCAAAGACTGCAGTCGAGGGTGAAAGGTTGTTGGAAACACGGGGACTAAGTTACTTGACTTACTCTGGCAATCTTTTCTCTCTCGTGAAGTTTCCTTTGCCATTCGGTTCCTGCTGGCTGATGACTGGTGAGGTGCAGAGTGGATGCGGGAGGTGTGTATTACAATAGTAAAACCAGATACATGTGCTTCCTGGGTTCTACAGGAAGCATCCTAAACTTTCCAGAGCTCTATCCCTGGAGCAAACCTGGGACCCACAGCCTGCCTGAACCTTGGTCCCTGGATGGGCCTGAGCTGTCTGGCTGTTGCTGTAGACACCCTGGTTGGGGTCCCTGATGGCTATGGTTGGGGTATTGCTTCCAGTAAAACCTTCTACACCCATGGGTAGGCCTACAACCTGTGCCAACATATTGAAGCAGTAAGAGTTTTTTCCATGGGTCACCGACTCCGTGAAGTCACCCTGGACTCCTTCCCTGCCTTCCTGCCCAAGTTCAACCTCCTCTCCCACTTCCAGTGTCAGCACTTGTCTACGGCCCATCATCTCTCACCTTGACAACTGTCTCTGCCTGCAACCTGTATCCTTCTCTTTGTGCTGCCTCACTCTGATCTCTCCTAAAGATGCTGTCTTTTACAGCAAAAATCTGATTTTATCACCCCCCTGCCTTCTTAAAATCTTTCAATGGCTTGCCACTGCCCCGTAAGAGAAAATCCATAATCCTGTTCCTGCCTAATCCTTTAAATTCTCCTGGTAACCCCCACCCCATCCTTTTGAGGTACACTGACTTCTTTTTACTTCCTGAAAAGCACAGCATTTTCATGCCTCAGGATCTTTGCACGTGCTTCTCTTTATGCCAGTAAAGCTCTCTCCTCCCCTTCTCATTTTGCTTAAATTCCAGGCTCATTTCTGATATCCTGTCTTCCAGGAAATTGTCTCTATGCATAAGCTAGGCCAGTCCTTCTGCATTCAGAGCACCTGGTCTCTCCTTATGAGCATGTCATCATAATTATATCAAGTGTAGTTCATTACATACTAAAATGTTTAATACCACACTGGGGTAGAGACTCTGTCTATTGCTTCCTCTTATATATATCCTGATCTTGCAGTTAGATCAGGATCTGGTAAATAATAAGGGAATCAATAAGTATTTGTTAAATGAATGAGTTGGTAAAGCTACAAACTCTCCTGTTTTGGTCAAGACCATGTTTCCTCTGTCTATATCCCTAGAACCCCAATCATGTAGCAGCCGCCAACAACCAAACAGCTGAAAGATTTTTCTGGCCACACTATGTGTGTGTGTGAACTGCATAGAATTTCATGAATTTGCTCCTGAGAAATGGGGACTATGTCCACCTGTGAGGGTTTGGATATGAGATGTCCACCCAAAAAGCTCTGTGTCAATGCAGGAGGGAAACGATCAGATTGTGAGAGTTATAACCTGATCAGTGGATTGATTCATCTGATGGATTAATAATTTGAAAGGACTATTTACAGTACTGGGAGATAACTCTAGGCAGGCAGAGCATGGCTGGAAATGGAAATAGGAAGTGGAAATAGGTCACTGGGGCCGTGCCTTGGGGTTTATAATTGGTCTCTGGCCTTGCATTTCCTGTTTTCTGGTTGCCATGAGCTGAGCTTTCCTTTGCTGTCCCTTCCCCATGATGTCCTGTCACCTCAGGCCCAGAGCAAGGAAGGTGGCCAACCACGGCCTGAAGACCACTAAAACTGACAGCCCCAAATATACTTCCTCTCCTAAGTGTTCTTGTCAGGTGTTTGGTCATAGCAACACACCGCCTGGTTAAAACAGTGCTTTGAGGGCTACAGCCTCAACCAATCTCCTTTGGCAGATTCCGGCTGAAGCCTCCAAGCATTTGTGCAGAAAACATTAATCAGTGAGTAAATGAACAACTAACCATCTCTGCTTCCCAAAACACAAATCGCCTGCAAGCACAGGATGGCAAGTCTCCACGCTTCGGTGGGCATTTTGATCTTGTCAACGTGGCCGCCCAGAACATTAACTTCTAGCAGAGAGGGGCTTGGCTCTTTACCCTGTGTGCCCCTGCTGCCTGCCAGGTCCAGCTCTGTCCTTCCGATTTACCTCCCAAGCCCTCTTGCTGGGCTTCCGTTGCTCTGCTGCCCCACCATGTCCTGGTGGTGGCCGTGTTCCTCCATGGGTATCCTTCTCTAAGGCGCCAGTTCCTTCTAGATCTGCAACGCCCTTCTCCCCCTCTGACCTTCAACCCAGGGTGATACTGGCCCCCTGCTGTCACCACTCTCAGGTGCAGCACTCCTTGTAGGTTTCCACCATTCAGTTGACTCTTTGATTGACAGTCCCCTTATCAGGTAAGCCTGTGGAGTTGCCCTCTTTTTCCTGCCAGGACCTGAGTGATGCTGTGACAACTCAAATACTGGGAAAGCAGTCGTGCTGGAGACTGCCACTCATTCAGTGTCCCTGAGTATCCCCCATGGGCAAATCTCGTTGGTGTGCTGGGTTCCCACTGAAGACCATCTTGCCTGGGAATCAGCATGTGTTTTCTTAAAGAGACAGATGGTGAATGGTTGGGGCATTTGCCTGTCCTGTGGGCTCTGTTGCTCCTACCCAGCTTTACTATTGTAGAGCTAAGGCAGCCACTACCAAAATGTAAATGAGCGGTCGTGGCTATGTTTCCATAACATCTTATTTACAGAAACAGGTGGCAGGCTGAATTTGGCCCACGGACTCCTGCTCCTGAAGACCCTTGAAATCTTGCTCTTCTGCCTGTTAGAGGGGCTGAATGAAGGTTGAGCATGTTACTGTGGCAGCACTATCTCTAGCCAGTGTGCTGAGGTCACTTACTTTAAGCTTCCAGAAATGCGGACGCTCACACGGCCAATGGAGTTGCTGCAGTGGTGTACGGAGGCAGTGGGTCGTCCAGTCTCGTCCTTGCCCAAGTTCAGAGAGACTGAGATGGAAATGCCATCCACCTTCAGATCAAATGAGCCTTTCAGGTTGCTGGTTGGGGGAAATGAGAAGTAAACTGCTGTATAAACTGGGTCACCATCAAGAAGAGCAACCAAGACACAGCCCCAGATTTGTCTCCCAGGTTCCCACTAACCAGCTGTGCCTCCTGCCTGGGCCTCCACTTCTCTTTAAAAACAGTGTCACTGAGGATTTGCTATGTGCTAGGCACACTGCTAAATGCCTTACCTCCGTTGTTTTATTTAAACAACGGCATCTCTGAGACCATTTCCCAGATAAGGAAACTAATGCTTAAGGATTGTTGGATCTGGGTCCTTTATAGACCCGACTTTGAATAACCAGGGAGGGAGGGAGGGTGTGCCCTTGCCCAGAGCTGAGCCACATTCCTACCGGAGTGCTACTCACATGAATCCTTTTTTCACCTTCCAGTTCCCACCCAAAGACAGATCGTTGTTGGACAGGGAAGCCCTGATTCCCAGCCCTGGAAGTAGACTCAGATCTGAGTTTCGGACCTCGAAGCGATGGATCTTCAGGCTGGGGAGGAAAGCAGATGTCAAACCCATTAAAAAAAAAAAAACACAAAAAAACCAGGGGCATGGGGCTGAGGTTGTAGCTCAGTGCTGGTATGCTTGTCGTGCATTTATGAGGCCCTGGGTTCGATCCTCAGCCCCACTTAAAAATAAATAAATAAAATAAAGGTATTGTGTCCATCTACAACTAAAAATATTAAAAAATAATAATAAAAATAAAAAACAAAAAACAGGGGCCTGTTTATCCCTGAGTGAGTCCCCTCCTGTTCCTCTCACTCTCTTTTGAATATATTGACCTAACCCACAAAGGACCATCTGACCGTCTCATGTGCCTCTTTCAAGATCCGCTCAGCCTCCTCCAGGAAGCTTCTCCAACTCTCCAAGGCCAAGGCCCTCCTCTCTCCTTTGACACACATCCTCACAGCTGCTCCTGTCCACCCTGCTGACCTGACTCTGGTGAGCACCCTGTGAGGTGGCCTGGCTTTACGTGTCCTGTCTCCACCCTGAGGTCTCTAGGAAGCAGCTGTCCCCTCTGCTCTTTGCCCCTCATTACTTCAAATAGAAACAAGGGCTCGGGGCTGTGGGTGAGTTACGCATACGCGAAGCCCTGGGTTCCATCCCCAGCACCACAGAACAAAAACACGGACTCACGGTTCGGATCAGAGATCATTCCCTGGCAACCTGTGGGATATATCTATATTTTTTCCTATGTACTTTTTTTTTTTATATAAATTATGAATCAGCTGTAAAAATGTGGGCAAACAACTAGATTTCTGGCTTGTCTTGAAAAAATCCAAAGGAAAATGCCACGCTCCCCATGGCATTGACCAACTACAGGTGAGAAGCGCTGTCCTCTTTACGTAGGCACGCATCATGCTCTCCATTTGATTATTGGCTCTTAGATCCATTCCCTGGCCTTCCCCTGCTCTGAACCACGTGGACTGGGACTGACCTGTGCAAACTACATTTCCCAGGCTCCTTTGCAACTGGCTTCTAGTTAGAATTGGCCAATGGGAAGTACTTGAGGGAAGTGTAGTGGAGGGAAGAAGGAGAAGCCAGGGTGTTTCTTCTTCTCTCTCTGCCAGGAATTGCCTTTGGCGGTGGTTCCCCGTCCACAGTGGGGTCAGCTCCTATCAGACACCTCTTCAGGGACTGAGTCTTTCTGGAGGACTGACCGAGGGCTTGGGAATGATTTCTAAGGGTCTCTCTTTCGTTCTGATGATTCAAGGAGCACACATCCCCTTCTGGAAGCCCCACAAGAGCTGGCCATCATCCCTCTGGCTTTGCCGACTCCCTTCCCCAGGATCCTAGGTTTCCATCCTTCCTCCTCTGCGGCCCCTGATTTGGGGAAAGGAGACCTCACCTGTGAAAATTGTAGCTCACCCGTCCAAACCAACCAATCTTGAAGTTTCCTGAGAAGTCAGGCAACCTGATGGCCAGCAGCTCCTTTCTCAGGGTGGCCACTGCATACTGGTTTGCTGGGTGGGGAGAGGGAAAAGAAGGATCTGTGAGCCGAGTGAGTTCATTCAGTAGGAGGCAGATTTGGTGGCCGGGCTTTAGAATCACACACGCTGGGTTAGAACGCAAGATGTGCTTTGTGCGCACGCACACAAAGTGTTAAGTTTTGCTGTGCTTAGCAAAACAAGGAGTTCTGTGAGAAAGTATGAACTCTTTGAACTGTGTCCTTGTTGCTGTCTTAAGAAGATAAA